GTGATCCGATCCGTGATCCGATCCGTGCTCCGATCCGTGATCCGATCCTTGATCCGGTCCGGTCCGGTCCGATCCTGGTTTTGTCGACGCCGGCCTGCTACTAAGCTCGCCACCTTTGCCATCCCGGCAAGTAAACATGGCGGATAGTTGGTGAATGAATTTTCCACTTGATCTATTCGAAAGACATCGCTAAGCCCAGGATATTTGAAAGGGTGGAGAATTTTCAAAATGACTGCTGTCATCCTTGGACCAAAAATCCTTTCAAGAACTCGTGTTCAAGGCAGTTAAGAATCGTAAACGCAGTGGCTATGTTGATCGCCAGCAGGTCAGATCGATTGACCGAAATCTGCTTTTCTCCAAACTAAAGTTACTCATTTTGAGACGATTATGACAACTGTGGATGAAGTCAGCAGCGATAAAACAAAGGTACCGGATGAATTTATTTTTCGTAGTGTTTTGCTTGTTTGTTTTACTGCCGAACTCGATAAGTAACCTGATTCACAATCGATGTAAGCTTACATGTAAGCTTCTTATTAACACTATACGGCTGCATTCGTGTATGCAAACGAAGAATTGGGTCCCTGTTTTTATGTTTTAGTCCGTATTCTTTGTTGTTCAGCTCTGAAATTATACTAAAACAATTATTCGCCTCAGGCTCAGTGAATATTGTCGAATAATTGTTAAATATAACACGTTAATTTCGCGGCCAGGGTAAGTGTCCGCTTAATAGAGGGTGTCCTCTTAATTGGGGTCCTCTTAAGGACGGTGCCTACTTTTGTTAGTGCGCACACGTTCCGCGCATCACGCAAGGCATTGTTTAAGCGCTACGCGCGCGCTGGGTTGACATTGACGCAATCAACTTCGCCACCAAGTACACGACTAAAATGAAGCAAAATTTTCCTACTGTGACCACATCAAGTTTAATGTACCTGTGCTTAAACCAGGAACACCAGAATAGCAGCATATCGCTAACCCCTAACTGTTAACGTCTTCCAGCTGAAAAACTAGCTGTTATCTGTCGAACATTATACTGAAATCCAACTGTAAACATGTACCTGCAGATGGCGTAGTGCGCGCGCAAAACAAGTGCGAGATACGCAAATGTTTTACTTACTGGGGAGGTGTCAGGAAAAAATGTAACGGGCACCGTAAAAGTTTTCAAAAAAGATGAATAACTTTATAAAACGCGTGGTTGCCCATACATTTTATGTTATGAAATGGAAGTGGTAAGCCTATTCAACACGTGATTAGTTTCTGGTTGTGAGCAAAAGATATTTAGACTGTATTTTGGCTGAACCAGAGGAAGGCTGGCGGAGACGCCAAAAGCGCTGTTGCAACGATTTTGTTATTGAAAACATACCAAAAATGGTTTTTATGTTACCATTTACCATGCAGTTTTAAGATCTTTATAAATGTGTTTGCTTTTCTGTATGTAGAGGCAGATTGTAAGGAAATCTGTGAAGAAATATCCTTTCCTACTTTTTCAGAAAAATGCTGATGTCAGCATTTTTGCTGAGATTCAAGGCTAATTATCTCGAAAAAATGCGTGGCTACCCCCATTTTTCTTTGTGGATCCCAATAGCCCTTGCAAAGATCTACTTTTTCCGCGTGGTCATAACCTGGCGCAAAAACCTCTGTATTTAGTAGGCACCGTCCTTAATAGAGGTTTCACTGTATCTTTGTTACCACCCAATTCAGATCATGTGATGATTCATTTGGGAGATTACAATTGTTCTGTTTGTGCAAAGTCCCAGGCAATCGGTTACGTGTGACAAATTCAATTCAATTACGTGTGGTCTGCATTGGGTAGCGACAAGGATGTAAGCACGTTAGCTGAATCCGTTTATTCGCGAGTTGGCGCAAAAAAGAACAAGCGATTAGCATTCGAATTTCTTTGAGTTCAACAAGATTTCAGACTTTCAACAAACGTGTCGCTAGTCAGAGTTCTTCTTTAAAAAATTTTTTTCGTGTAGGTCAGTCTTCTTTTTATATTACGCCTAATATGATATTTTCTTTGTCATTTCGTTAGGAGTATACGGTAGAAACATCTATCTTGACAGCACAGTTGACAAGATACCTTAAAAGGAAATCAAGTCCACTGTCCAGGTTAGTGAAAGAAGAAGTTGGACGTAAATCGGCATAAAATTGAAGCCAATCAACTTTGATGAATATGGCAAAGAACACACGAGGGAAGGCACACGAATGCAAGCATTGTGGCCAGTTGATTGACCAGTTATCAGCTTACAAGGAGCATGAAGGAACTCAAACAGGAGAGAAGCCGTATACATGCATACATTGTGATAAGCGCTTTAGCTACTCATCAACTTGCGAGCGAGATGAACGACCTTCTACAGGAGTGAAGCCATATAAATGCAAGTATTGTAAAAAGTGCTTTAGCCAATCATCAGATTGCAAAAAACATGAACGAACTCACACAGGAGTGAAGCCGTATTCATGCAAGCATTGTGACATGTGCTTTAAGCAATCATCAAATTGCAGGCTACACGAACGAACTCACACAGGAGTGAAACCATATAAATGCAAGCATTGTAACAAGGGCTTTAGCCAATCATCACATTGCACGAAGCATGAACTAACTCATACAGGAGCGAAGCCATATACATGCAAGCATTGTAGCAAGAGCTTTAACCAATCATCAAATTGCAGGCAACATGAACGAACTCACACAGGAGAGAAGCTGTATACATGCAAGTATTGTAACAAGAGCTTTAACCAATCATCAAATTGCAAGCAACATGAACGAACTCACACAGGAGAGAAGCTGTATACATGCAAGCATTGTAACAAGAGCTTTAACCAATCACCACATTGCAAGCAACATGAACGAACTCACACAGGAGAGAAGCCGTATACATGCAAGCATTGTAAAAAGTGTTTTAGCTCCCTTTCAAATTGTAAGGAACACGAACGAATTCATACAGGAGAGAAGCCGTATAGATGCAAGCACTGTAATAAGTGCTTTACAAAGTCATCTACTTGCAAGCGACATGAAGAAATACATGCAATACACAATTCTTCAGTGAAAACGAAAACAGTAGGATCAGTATCTAAATCTAAGAATTAATCTTCAGGGGCTATCAACAAATCACGGTGTCAAAAATCCCGGTATGCCAAGTTGAAAGCCTCACCTGTTGGATTTGTCAGGAGGAACTTAGTAGCGAGACATGGCTCATCAACATTACGATGATCATATGAGATAAAAACGACGCGTGTGTAAACCGTATCATTCTTTAGCCAATTTTTTATTTTGGCTTGATTTATTCTCCTCGTTGTAGATTCATTAGGACACAATTTGTGTTGTTAACGTTAGCGTTCGAGGAAAGTCAATTACAGTCAATCCTCCCGTAAGCGACCACCCAAAATGTCAAGCCAGGGTGGTCGCCTACGGGAGGTGGTCGTTTACAAGAGCTTAAACCAAATTTGGTCAAAATTTTGCTTCATTAGCATATGGTAACTGCAGAGATTTACCCCATCTTTTAAATGTTTGTTCATGTGAAAAGTCAATTTCGAGAAAACATCTGCTACTTCCCGTTGAGGAATTTCCGTCTCTTGTACTACCAGAAATGGAATAATATTACAACACCATTTAATCCAATTTCCGCTCTATTATCTGTCAAGTGGTCTCTCACGGGAGATTAAGGTGGCTGAACACAGTTTTTGATACCTGTGTTTCATTCACCTTTTCTCTAAAACCCTTGATCTCTCGGTCGTCAAAAATGGCCACAAGCTAGNAAAAAGTACAAATGGTTTCCCCCGGCTCTTTAATACTATAATCCCAGTAAATTTCAGTTAGGCGCGAGTTTCAATTAGCTTTGTTTGCATCGCGTGTTATTCTTGTAGGAACCAACTGAGGAAGGCTTTTTGTTGGTAACACTGATTATAGAAAGTGTAGATCATCAATTAATTATTTGTTTGAGTATTCTGGATGACAAGTACGATGGCTTTTCGTATCAGCACAAATAGACAAACTCAAAGTGGCCCTTTGTGTTTTGTTTGCTATTATCTTTGTTGAATTTGTTAGAAGCGAAGAGGTGCTCAAGCAGTTTAAGGCCTGCGTCAGGAGTAAATACTCTTTTTCTTTGGCCATCGTAGCTTAAGGTGGCTGAACACAGTTTTTGATACCTGTGTTTCATTCACCTTTTCTCTAAAACCCTTGATCTCTCGGTCGTCAAAAATGGCCACAAGTTAGTTAACAACACAAACTTTGGTTTTTGATGGCTAAGCTGACGTATGTGCCGTTGCCATGGCAACATAAATAAATATAAACAGGCCTTTAAAATCTTTTTTTTTTTATTTGCAGAAAATCTATTCATTAGATTTTCTTTATAGTTTGCATGCAACAAGTTTGTAACGATTCTCACAACTTAACACCATTTTGCTAATAATTTAACAGAGTGATCTTTAATTATCCCTTGTTGAAGGTTCACTGGAATATCTAGAATGTCCTTTGTTAAAGTTCAGTTATTTTCAATACTCCAGTTACTTATTTCCTGAAGTATTTTCGTGCCAAATTTCGNCTGAGAATTGCTGGGTTCTTTACATCGTTACCTTTTCTAACATATCTTTGTAATAAAAGACTAAAGCCATCAATACGTTGCGTTAAATTATAGAGAAAAGTAGCACAGATACTGTGGGTGTTGAGTAAATAAAATGATCGCTCTATTGACACATGTTTGTTTTTTGTAATCCTTGTGCGCGTGCTCAATTGCATCAGCAAAAGCGCGTGCGAAAACTGTGTTCGGCCACCTTAATAAAAAATAACACGCACCGCAGTTTGCGTTTTATTTCTTGTTACGCGTCAGGAGTGTAAAGTAGAATTATGGTTAGGCAGCTATATCTCTTGTTGTATTTGTTTCACCAAGCTGAACTTTTCCCTGATTATAAAACTCGACGTCCTGCCTTGCCTTAACATATTATTTTGATCACGTGACATGTCACGTGATCACTTTGTTAAAATTTGGTAAATCGGCGAATTGGCGGCGAATTTTCACTCTGTTGGTCAATAAATGAGCGTTTGCGATGCAAATTTAAATTATATACCTTGCTACGTTTGGAATGATCTCCCTTAATTTCGTTTACACAAGATATAAATGATGAAAAATCGAATTTTGTTGAAAAAAGGGACCTTTTACCCTACAAAATTTTTTCTGTGAAAAGAGGGACGGTCATTCAAAACGTGAGAGGATGGAAATAATTGACCTGCATCTAAAACGCGTTTTTGCAGGATGTTATTAGTAAAAACCGCCACCAATTCCTCAAATAATGGCTGTTTTCCACGAAACGTCACGCGACATGTCACGTGACCTTTCAAAAGTACCAATTCTACTTTAAAATGTTAAGGACGTCAAAACCTGTGTGCTAAATCTGGTTCCATTGCCATTTATACCTTCAGAAATATAACTAATGAATTATTTTCACCAGTAAAAGCCTTTAATCCAGGCCTTAAACTACTTGAGGAGTCTTATATTACTTAATTCTCATTCGACACTGATGATAGTTCCGCTACAAGGCTCTTATTACGCATACCTCGTTTGTCCTTTATTTTCGTTGGCTTTTGGCTTCCTTGAGTGAATTTGTTGAAATAGAACAAACATAAAATAAAGAATCAGATAATGACGATAATGAAGGTTAAAGTTTTGTTATTTGCAGTAAGTACAACCATGACAGTTTTCTTGACATACCANTTTTGCAATCCTCGTGCGCGCGCTGAATTGCATCAGCGAAAGCGCGCGCGAAAACTATGTTCGGCCACCTTAAAAGCAAAAGAAAATTTCAAGCTTTTAGCTCTAAGAGTGGTCGCGGTCGCTTACGAGAGGTGGTCACTTGCAAGAGGATCGAAATATAGAGATTTGACTTGGAAACTTTTGATATTTTGGAAAACTGGTCGCTGAGAAGAGGTGTTCGCTTTTTTTCTTTTTTTTTTTTTTTTNAATTGAGCTAACAGTGTTGAAACTTGGAACTTCTCTTTACCTACAGCAAACCTGTATTGTACCTTTACGTAATGCTTTCAAGTTATAATAAGCTTTAATGCACAAAGCTAGATATAATGTGGTAGTCACTATACCATTGAATGTCTCACCTGTATTTTCTTAGTATACACATGAGCTATTAATTTTAAGTGGTTTTATTGTTAACACGACAGGTGCAAAACAGAATAAGGATGTGAGTACAGTCGAACCTCTCCACAACGGCCTCCTTGAGAACAGAGGAAAGTGGCCGTTGTAGAGAGGTGACCGTCATGGGGAGGTAGGAGTGTAATATGACACCTGTTGTTCAGGGGTACAACATTTGTTGCTTATGATTTTAGTATATATGAATCAAAATGTATCAATAAAAGAGAAACTTAACATAAACGGGGACCAACAGCTCGCGGCACTGATCAAGTTTGGTGACTATAATAAAAATATGGGTTTTCTATACACCCTTTGTCAGTCGTCGATTAACTGGCGGTTGTCGAGACGTTATTTGGCTGTTGCCGTTGTGGAGAGGTGGCCCTTGTAGAGAGGGCTCGACACATGTTTTGCGAGCAAATCAATCGTTGTGTTTCTTGGAAAAAAATTTCTTTTTTTGAACTTGGAAAATATTACTTTCCAAGTTGTAGTGGTGGAACGATTTTACTCCATCTCTCCTTAACTCCTTCTCTCCTTCACTCCTTCACTCCTTCACTCCTTCACTCCTTCACTCCTTCACTCCTTCACTCCTTCACTCCTTCACTCCTTCACTCCTTCACTCCTTCACTTCCCGTTAGATATTTGGAAACCCGGGGGGGGGCCACTCCCATATAAAAAGGCAAGGGATGCTTGTCGGAAAATATGAATTTAACTCTTAAGGGAGACTAATGTGGACGTTGCTTGAGCTTCATTAGACCCCTAAGCGCCTGTTTACAAGGAGGGAGGATTACTCTAGCACTCACACATCTCTTTTTTTCTTCGTCGTGTTTACAAGGCAGCTAGGCTTACCCGGGTAGGCGGGTTACCCTATCTGCGTGCTAGGGTTACCCAGGCAGGCGGGTTAACTTTTTCCCTTTTTTCAGACCCTTTGAGTGTAACCGCCCAATAAGTTGTCCCAGGTTGTAGGGTTACCCCACCTGTGACATTTTGCTTGTAAACCCGGGCTATCTTTTGCCCTCCAGCTAGGGTTAACCCGCTTGCTAGGGTAACCCTCCCTCCTTGTAACAGGCCCTAAAAGATATCACTTAAAACGGAAGAGGTTCGATGACTAGTCACTGTTCAAGAAAGGATCCCGCGCGCACTTGTAGACCCAACTCACGTACTCGAGAGATCGGCAGAAATCAAGCCTGAAAATAGAAATTAAATGAGAGCGTTACTCGTTATTATTATTTCCTCGAGTACATCCTAAAGGATACTTTGTCAGCTAAAAATGGTGACGTTTCGTCATCAACGCCCTAAGTGAGACCAGAATCGTTGATTTGTACCCGAGACGACGAGCTTCCTCGACCTTTTCATATAGGAGTGTTCCCCAGGTTTCGAACATCAGCCGTCTAAGGCCGTTTTACAGTCGCTTGCAGCGTGTCAAGTTAGCTATTTTCGAGAGGTAGAAGGTATAACGATTTTTTTTTTCATTGTAAGGAAAATACTTATGGCTCTTCCTTAGCGATTTGATTCAGGGAAAGTCTTCGTGGTTTTTCCTTCTCAAACCTACGTGATATTGTGAGTTCGAAAGCAATCGTTATAACGGAATGATTAAAGGCTCCAGTCGGTTTTTTTTAACACAGGAAACGGAAAGACAAACGCTACCTTTCGGTAAATGGCTTCTTGACAGAAAAAGAAAAGACAATGAAGAAGAAAAGGAAAAATACGTGTGGACTAATGTGCGAGCCTATTTTTGCGAGCCACTGCGGCTTTTTCTTTTTCATTTTTTTTTATTTTTTTTATTGTCATTATCATTATCACTATCACTATCACTATCATTATCATTATCATTATCATTATCATCATCATCATTATTATTATTATTATTGTTTTTATTATCATTATCATTATCATTATCATTATCCTTATTATTATTATTATTTGAGTTTTTAATTTAACGTTAACGTTTTACCCAGTAAATGCTACACTTGGCGGAAGAAACAAAAGTTTTCGATGTTCTTTCATGTGTGAAATTCCGCGAAGTAATTTCCCCGTCAGTATTAAATTTAATTTCATCATGTTTCATCCAACGGATTCTGCAGGTAAGTTTATATTTTCATCTACGGATGAAATTTTGAGTTTCCCTCGTAAATTTTCGTATCAAAATGTTGATTATGTAAAATTAACTACTACTGTCCAAATATTAAACAGGAAAACGTTTAAGTGAGGCGAATTTTAGGTAATCAATATTACACTCTAAAGCATTACTGCGCCTTTCAATAACATGCGGACTCTAAGATTCAAAGCTCGACCGACAAATGCGCTTTTCGCTACCGTCAATCAAGTGTTCGGCGGCTCCTCCCAGCTACTGACTACTGCCGAGCGCGCGGTAGTCAAATCGTTGAGCACAGTTCAGACAACGAAACAGTGCTCGGCAGTAGTCGGAAGTTGGGAGGAGCCGCCGAAAAACGCATTTGTCGGTTGAGCGTTGAATTTTAGAGTCCACATGTTATTGAAAGGCGCAGTAATCAAGCGCCGCCATGAAAGATTCATATATTTGTTTTTTTGCCTGACAGTTGTCCATTGTTTTCTTTTTTTCGGGAAACCAGGTTCTTGAGGACGTTCGCGCTAAAATTTTCCAACATTGATTTTTTTTACCACTGTAAGATGATGAGTTAGTTATGTCAGAAATGTAAAAAAATAGGGGTCACCGCCTTCGGTTTGGAGAGAACATGCTCGGAACCGCCCTAAATCTGAAAAAAATCAGGCTTCGTTAGCGAACAAAGCCACAGTGTCTGTAAGCCCAAAAATATTGCAATTAGATATTTGAAGTGAAATTATCTCTGCCAAATATTGTTTAAGTGGACCTATTATGTAAATTTAGTCAACTGGTGAGGTTCCTCAAAGAACAAGTTCGCATTTAGCGATCATCACTTCACGCGCCTTGGAGCCGCAAAATGGCAGGATTAATTTAGACCTAATTAAAGACTGGCAAAAGTTTACCTCGTTTGCAGCTACCAAAATCTGGTAATTCAAAAGCAAGATGGGAAAAATGACCGTCCTAAAATATCTGTGTAATTGGTAGAATTAAATTTTTAAAAAGGAACTCTCCACCACTTCGCTTGCCATGCTACAGTGCACCAACACATGAAGACAGCGCGCGGGTGCTTTCCATTATGCCAAAGACTCCGGAAATTTCGGTCGAAAGTCAAATGGAAAGGTCCGTTTCGGTTCCTTCCGACCTAAATATTTCTGTAGGACCGGTCCGACCGAATTTGACGTTCCATTTTTGACAAACCGGTTCATTGCCGTACTTCTCTTCACTTACGTAGAGAATTCGGAAAAAGGAATAAAACATCGTGACAGCCATTACTCTTAGTTCAGCTCGGTTTGACCGTCGTTCCATTTTCCTCGGGTTCCACCTGGTCTCTGACCGGTCGGTATGGCATCAGTGGAAACACCCCGCGTGTAATAAATACCATATTAGGGCATTATGCTCGTTTTCTGTTGTTGTTGTTGTTTTTTGTTGGAATCTTTCGAGGCTCGCAAAAAGAGATTCGCGGCTCGCGGCTCGAGGCTCAGGCTCGGAGACTCGCAAAATAGCCTCGACTCCCCTAGGAAAAATAAACAGTAATCACCAATCAGACTCGAACTCTCAATGTCTTGCATGCTGAGCCAGCGCTTAATGTCCAAATAGTTCCTTAACGAATAATGCCTTCATAACACCCTTTCATAAATTATTTTGCAAGTTCAGTGGCTCACACGGCACTTTGTTGAGCCACAAGTTTACTTCTGGCTGACTTCTGGCTATCAAGTAATTTTAGCCCGTGTTTTCACGAGAGATGTTTACCTTAGTTTTGTTTTAACTTTACTGAAGTGAAATTTTTAATCGTGTAACATAGCAGCAAACCTCGGTAAATGGCGGTAAAATCAAAAGTAAGCCAACCTAAGTTTGCCTACAGTTGAACGCCTCATCAGGCATGGTTTAGCTCAGTAACCGACGGTAACCGAGGAAAAGCAGACGTCGCGATATCTTGGCAGCAAGAGTCACGCATGCAGCGCGTAAAGAAGAGAAAAATAGACAAAGATTCCTCCTAATAATGTAAGTAGGTTTCAAGTCAACGGGCAAAAAAGCTAAATAAACTCATGTTTAGGCAAAGAAATCCGCCCAGACTGCTGTTTCACGTTCATCATCAAGTGCCGTAAGCGTTTCCTTTCTGTTAGAAGCTCAGTAGCTAAGTAGTAGTGTACAGGCAGGCGCAACTAGAAGATGTACCACAAATAGAGAGGAAAAAACTCTTAATTGAGGTCTATGGAGAAGAAAAGCAAATTTTGGAATTGAAAGCGGCTCCGAATAAGAAGAAGTGCCGGTGAACATTTACGTAGCCCAGGCTCCATGGCAGATGCCGTTTCAGGTTTTTTTGCGGGAAGAGGCTCAGCGAGATATCAAAATTTCCATTTCACTATTCATCTACAAAACTTTACATTTGAGGAGTGTTTGGCTCGACATCACAGCAAGCAAATTGACAACGACCTGCGTTCGGCATCGGAGTTAAGTCAAATTTTATAATTTGCAGCACTTGCTTTCCGAGAAAACCTCAAACCGTCCGTTGTACGCGGCCTTCTTTAGTTAATTAGTTTCGTGTAAACAGCCCTTCAAATAACTGCGGTTTAGTTACGAAACCTCGATAAGCAGTAACCGTAGTCAACCTCTCTCGCGAAAACACGGCATAAAGTAAGTAACAACTTCTTTTTTTGTCTCACGAGTTTACCTGTGACTCAATTCTGGCCAAAGTAAGTAAGTAAGTAAGTAACCAATCCCCCCTCCCCCTCCCCTCTTCCGTTCCCCACTCTCCTCCCAGCCCTGGACACCCTGGGTAGAATATTATCTAGGTCGTAGAGAGCATGGGCTCGAGTGTAATCAGTCTATTTTAATATGGCGGCCACTGTTGGATTGCTATTGAAGTCGTTGTAGCTGGTTTTCAAGGTAAGAGAGTCTATAAGAATGCTTTTCTAATGTCTAGCTAAGCTATAGATTTATGAAAGAGAATGAAAACAAAATTGTGTCTGTGTTTTGCAATGCAGAATACGGTAGACAGTAGTTCGTGAACTTACGGGGTGGACATTTTCGCGCATTCTGTTGAAATCGCTTTTTCCACGAGTTTAGGGATTAAAACTAGACGTTTTGAAAAACACAGAAGTAGATCAGATGATGGAGCGTCCTTGGTATTGACTATTAAATACATTGACTAAATGTTTTGAAATGTTTTTAATTCCTTCTACTGGTTTGTCACGTTGTAGTCTGAACAAATTACCAGCGTTTACAGTATAGTGGGAAGTAAAGTAACTGACCACTTTTCTCTGGTAATTTTATTGTTGTATATTCTGACAACAACAACGATATGTGTGGGGTTGATGTAGTGTCACATAAACTATCTAAATAACTGCTCAAATTGTAGCACTAATGTTGAGTGATAATTCTGTTGTTGTTGTTGTTGTTGTTCAACATTTAGTATCAGTTGTGACTCAGTAGTGTGCTTGCTATGAATAACTTACTTTGAGATTATGGTGTTGGTCAGTGTAAGTCAATGAAGACTATGGACTGCATACTGCAGACTGCAGACTGCGCACTTTTTAATCTATTATTATATCTTGTTATTTGCATTATCGAGTGTTAATCATAAACAGGGCTATTCAGGCCAATCGCAGTGAAAGACTGCACCCCAGTTAGCCTGAATATCACTCTGGTTTGCCTGAATATCACTCAGACTAGCCTGAATAATGCTTCGGGTAGCCTGTTTACAGTTATCTCTCACTTTTTTTTTGTGACAGAACAGACTAATTTTTTGCTTATACCTGGTCATGGTTGTTTGATCTACAATGAACGACAAAAGTGCTGAGACTAAAGCATGGAATCGGAAATCCAGAATCTGGAGTCCAGAAACTGCAAACCAAAACCTGGAACCTGGAATTCATGAAATTGAGACTAACAACAGAAAAAATTCACTTCAGCAATGCTCACGAAATAGATAAAGGAAAAAAAGTAATGTTATTGTTGTTCTTCGTTTTCTGTGCTTTACATTAACCACAAACTGCATGTTGTGTATTATTGTAAAAACATAACTAGTTTTGAACAACCCCTCAGCTATACATGTGGCCCGGTTGTGCAAAAGGTGGATAATGCATTCCATTGGATTAATCATTATCCAGTGAGAATAGTTTCAGGTGGATACAGTTAGCCATCCTTTGATGACCTCTGATCAACCTGGCCCGGACAAGAGCGTGCATGGTTCTTGCCAAGGTCACATTGTACAAAAGAGACTGATGAGTAGCAGAAAATTCACAGCATTGACCTAAAAGAAATTTTTGCGTGTTTCGGGGAATCCATAATTCACAAACAAAAGAAAACAAGAGCTTCAAATTTTCAAATTATATTGTGTAGATTTTGCTTGTTAAAAAAGGCCAATAGAAAAGGACCTCAAACTTCACCTCTTTTGAAACATGGGTTTCCCGCTTGTTGAAATTTGTGCACCGTTATTTTCAGTGAAGGCTACGGTTATGGAAATCTTAACTAACATGCATCACAATTTGATTCTGATCACCCTGAGAACAAGTGAAGTAAGCTTTCTGGTAATTGGCATTTTGTTTAAGTGATCTACAATTTGCAGGAGGTGTAATTTGGCCTACATGTCTAGTAGATACTAAACAAGTTAGCAATGTCATAGAAAACCGGGTTTCCATCAGTGGCAGCAAGCTGTAACTCGACAGTCACGCCTCTCACTTTAGATATGCAAGGGTTAACTTGGCTCTTCTAAGAAAAGTTTGTTTTTCTAAACATGCAAGATTAATTCCAGAGCAACACTATTTATCACACTGATAGTGTTACAAATCACCACCAGATATTCTTATCCACCTTCATATTAAGATAATTTCAAGAAACGGTTGCACGCTTACTTCCGTGTCCTCCTCATTTGTGAATGGATCGGATCACGTGTTGTTTAAAGATGCCTAAAGAATGCAAGAAAAACATTGTACGCAAACATCTCTTTGATGTTAGTGCTGTGAGAATAGCTTGTTTCTTTTGTGCTTCTTATCAGTCTTCTCAGAGTAGTTTGATCTAGACAAGAACTGCGCTTCTGCCAAGTGCCAGGTTCAACTGTATCTTCTCTAAAAATCACTAATTCTGACTAGATAGTGATTTACCCTGTGACAGTGGATCCACCCTTTTGAACAAAGGGGGTCAGGCCCAGGTTGCGTGGAGGTTGGATAATGCTATCCACCAGATAAATCACTATCCAGTGATAAGTATTAACAAAACAAACCACGCTATCTGCTGGATAGTGATTTATCTGGTGGATAGCATTATCCACTTTTTGAACAACCCGGGTGCGATGTATAGCTAGGTGTTGTTTAAAACCGGTCATGTGTTTTTTTATTATTATTATTTTTTATTTTTTTTACAATTGCAGTTTGTGGTTGAGGTTGGAAGAAAAGAAAAAACAACAACAACAATATTTATTTCTTTAGTGGACATTGCTGAAGTGAATTATTTCTGTCGATGTTGTCAATATCAACAAATTGTACCCATTGGTTTCTGGACTTCATGATATAAGGTTGCTGTGCTGAGACACTCTGCAGTAAAACTCTATTTTTGAGCATCTTGGAAACATTGCCTGCCCCTTCTTCTTTCCCCCGCCCCCACTCTCCAAATTGTGTTGATTTTTCTATTTCCAAGACTGTACAGATCACAAAACCCACACAACATTGAACTAGGAGGCTGTGGGAATAAGAGAATTGATGCTAGATGCAAATAAAAAATTATAGCATGACAGGTTAAATATTGAAATGTCCTAACTACTTTTTTCACCCATTATAAGTAATATAATAGAGACATTTATGGGTTAAACATAAACTTAAAGAACAGTTAAAATTTCACATTGTGAAATAATTGCACCCATTGGAGGAAAGTAATCTTAATAGAGATTAGATTCTTGCAGTTAAAATGCAGTGAAAAGAGCTGAACGAACATAAGGAAACAATTTGCCTAACTCCAATAACATCAATAATTAATGTACTAAATATAAGTCCAGCTTTAAGCTGTCAATCAAACAACCAATCAAGTCATTTTCCAAACATTCTGAGAAAAATCACCTGACCTTGAACACAATAAGCCACGTTCGATATATATCAATATTTAAACATGGCTCTGAGGCTTTCAGGACAAACTTCTACCGTATGGCACTGAATTTTTGCGGGTTCTAATTTTTGCAGCTGTTCCGATTTTTGTGGTTTATTTCCATGATGCGTAAAAAAATGTTCTCACAAATAGATATTCTTGCAAAAATTTTCTCTGCAAAAGTTTAATACTCTACTGGCGAAATTATAAATAAGATGTGAAGTTTATATAAAAAAATTCATATATGAACTGCGGTTGTAGATGAAAGTGAAGAATGATCATCGCAGTTAATTTTCCAATTTAAGCAATTGGAAAGAAGAAGCCTGAAAA